AAAAGCTGGCCAAGTGCATACTCTATAAATAGGGGAACATCCAGGGTTCCAGATACCGTTGTGGAATCAGACAGTAGAAAGAGTAAGAGAACGGTTTGACATCCTTAGTATGGAATCTCTGGCTTCTGTCCAGCTGGCAAGCATATATGCAAAATGTACTTGATGTCTCCTGAAGGTGTGAGTATTTGGATCCTCAGTACCTCATACAACAGACAATCACATAGCAGTTGTTCAAGAAATATTTATTGTTGAAAAGCAATGCTTCCCCTCAAAGGATAAAGGTGGAAAGAAACTGAGAGGTTTGCATTGTCCAGAGAAAGCATCAGCAATAAACAATTATAAAGGAAAAAAATCACTGATTTCCTTTTGCAACATGTTGAAACCAACCAGTGCAAAGCTTTTAGACAACAATTTACTCTTCTGAGTCCTTTCTGTTGGAATTCCAGGCAACCACTAATGAATGTACCCAGAAACCAACCCTACTCTTTCTTCTATGAAATGCATTTCCCTGGCCTCTTTCCCTCTTTGTTTACTGCAATCAGATGGTTTTAGACTAGGTCGAAAATCACATTATCTAAACACACACACATAGCAACACTTGAAGCAATCTACCCTCAAAGGCTCTTGCAAACATGTCTTTAAACTGATTGACCCTGGCCACCCTCTAGCTATGCGAGAGTGCAGCTGTGGGCAGGACACCAAAGTTTTGGAATATCGGAGCATTAGTGTCTATGAAGTGGCCTGAAACCAGCAAGAATAGAGGATAGTGGTTCAATGCCCCAGTGCTCACTTCTCTCACCAGGCATCACATAATTATCTGAGAAAGAAGTGGAGGAAGAAGGAGGGAAAATATATATATATTTTCTACACCATGTGCCAGTTTACTCCTTAAATGCTCAAAAACAGCTGGAGCTATGTCAGGCTGACCCCAGGAGCCAAGAACTCTATCTGGCACATCCATATGAAGAACAATTTAGATCATTGTCTTCTGTCTCTCTTAGCTATACTGACAGTAAGCTAGACCAGAAATACAGCGTAGATGAGGTCTGATGTGGGATGCAGGCATCCCAGATGGTGGCTTCACCTGCTGCCTCCCATGTGCATCCCACTGAAAGTAATTCTGAACTGTGCTCTCTCAGTCTTTCAGCCAACAGCGCATGCCCACACTCCACTGATCATTTTCCCTCGTCTCACTGTTCTGTTCCTCCATAGCATACCCTGGGGCCATCCCCTATTTGGAGGGAAAAACCAAAATAAAATACCAGAAACATGGAAATGTGACTTGAACAAGGGCCATCACAGTCCCACACTGAACTTTCACAAACTGGAACTAAGGGAATAAAATCTCTTCCTTGTGGAGAAGCTGAGAAAATGGGTAGAAGTGATGGTGATAGTTGGTCAATGAAAGTTGTAGAGAATGAAGACGTATGATGCCACCTCATGTAGGTTGCATTGTACATCCTAAGCAGCATCAACAAGATGTGAAGGGTGACCCCCAGTTACTTTGTGCTACAATAGGGAACTCAAGGATTCATTCTAATAAAACAGATTCTTGAATTATACTCCTCCCTCCATTTTACTGAGACCCTTGGATCAGGAGATTTTTGAAAATGATTTCACCAAATGTCAGCTTATGGTTCATTTTCAAGTTATGAGGCAAGAAGGTTAAAATACAGTGTGCAATCATTACATACTCACTAGAACAACTTGGAATGCTGGGGAGGGAGTGTAGCCACTGTAATCCCTCAATGCAATGAGAAGTAAAATGGTACAGCCATACTCAAAAACAGTCTGGCAATTTCTTGAGCTAGTCACCATATCAACGTTATGTGAACAATGAAGCCAATTTAGAGTTTGGAGAGTCTTTATTAGCCAGCTGGCAACTGCCCTCACGCAGAATGGGCCTGAAGGAGACAGCCCCAAGCTGTCAGGGCAGTAATCTTTTAAAGAAAAAAAACAAAAACAAAAACAAAAAAAACCACACATCCTGGTGGCCTTTATGCTGGCAAGTAAGCAAGCAAGGGTACAGAAGCTACAATAAGCAGGTTAGCAGCAAGCTGAGCAATTCCATAGTAATAGTTACAGTTTAACTTCTTAGAAATTGGTTCCACCTTTCAAGGGGCCCAGTTCCCAGGACCTGGCCCCACCTTAGGGGAGGCGGGTCAGTCTAACCCAACCAGTACCAGACAATCTTTCCTTTTCATTTCTGCATTAGTCTTCCGAGGAAGCAAAGGTATGTGTTCCCACAAAAACTTGTGCATGAAAGCTCATAGCAACTTTATTTTGTTTATTTTTAATTATTTGAAAGAGAAAAAGATCTTCCAAACACTATCTGCTGAGTCTGAACAGAGCCAAAGCTATGAGAACTCAATCTTGACCTCTCTTCTGGGTAACAAGAATCTAAATGTTTGAAACAAGACCTGATCCCTTCAAGGATACACAGTATCCCGAATCTGGAGATTGAAGCAAAGCCAAGCCTAGACTCAAGTTTGATGTGGCATTCAGGTATCCCAAGCAACATATTAATGACTGCATGAAGTGCCATCCCACTTTGTATTTTTCTAGATAATAGGTCTAAATTGGAAGCAGCCTCAATATTCATTAATTTGTAACTAGATCAAAGAAATTATGGTTCATGCATGCTGTGGCATACTCCTCGGCAAAATAAAACACAATAACCCAGGTGAATCTCAAAATCAATATTTTTAATGAAAGAAGTCTAGCAAATAAGAAAAAAATCAGACTGATTCCATTTCAGGGAAGTTTTAGACTTGCAGTTTTATAAATGCGAACTAAGATAGCACAAGATTAAAGATTTCTAGGGTTGGAGTCACAGAGGCAGGGCTAAGAGGAACATGAGGAATGTTTGGGATGATGGATTTGTCATTATCCCATATTAGAATTCAGTATGCCTGGGGGCTGTTTTCCAGTTGTGGTCTCTGGTTCACAGCAGGTGTTCCATCCTCCTCATCCTCCTTTTTCTTCCACTTTGCTGATTCTATTTCTCACCATGTATGTGATCCCCCCCCCCCCCAATGCATGTTTAAGCTTTGGTCCAGTCCCACAAGCAATTATTCCTTGGACCAAGAATACGGAGGCAAAAAACACAGTCTGCTGTCAAACAGATGGGCACCAGGAAAGGCCTGCTTAAATCCTAAAGCAGACTCAGGGACTTTGGGGTATGAGACTGGAGACCTGCATACCAAGGAACATAGTCTAAAAATCAGGAGGCTTGTGGACTATTATTTGCCATATGCATCTGGCTCCACCAACATCTTGTACCATTGAAGGAAGGCAGGCAGAGTGGGTCCACAGCTCAGACCCCTTTCTCTGTACCAAGGAGTGCATGTTCTGCTTGATAGGAAATGAACTTCTCAAAGTCTAGGCCTGATGAGGTGCCACCAGCATAAGATATGGCACTTCCTGCTTAAAGGACTTCTAACCAGAGGCCTGATGAGAAAGGGCTGAGGGATCATAGACACGTCTCACAGTCAAAAGAATGGGTCTATACACATCAGGCGCATCCAGATAACACAAAGCTCAGACATCCCTAGCACCAGCTGTACCCGTTCTCCTTTCATACTCTAATTCTTTGACTCAGTTCTAGCAAAGACTAGGAGGAGGAAGAGAAAGAGAGTTGTAGCTGACGATACCCTATGTACACTTCCATGGGTTTCCAAACCACAGTTAAGCTTCAACTGGAAATAAGGGAAATTTTCAAGTTAAATGAGCAGCTATGAATCACTATAAAAACCCTGAACTCTATGAGAGATTTGGCCAGAGCTAAAATCGCTAACAGCCAGTGTCCAGGAAATGATGGGGAATGAAGGTACTTCTTGTTCATTCTTACAGAGCTGGCTATTGCACACATTTATTTGGGGGGTGAGATATTGAACTGATGATGAATGGCTCACTGCAGCCAATTGTCCTGATTTATGTGGATCACTGTGTGTCTCCTTTTTCCACATGTGCAGTTGGCCTTTGATCTCTTTTATCCAAAAGGATTTTGAGGAACATAACCTCTTCTGCTGACATAAGTTACACATTAGCATGCCTGATAATCGTTTTTAGCCAGTCTTGATAGAGTACTAGGTGGACTTTCAAATAGACTCTGGCAGTAGAAAAGGAAATAAATTGTTTTGGAAGCTGGGATTCCCCCCTCCACCCCTTTTTAAAAAATGATAAACTTAGGAGGATATCTTTTTTCCTTATGATAGGAAAAACTAAACCTCAGGGAAGACAAATTCAGGAAAGACAGAATCTTGACAGTTACAGAGAATAGATCATGCTGAAGGGTAAGGATCTGGCAGGGTGGTCAATTTAATTGTGTCTCTCAATGAAGAAATGCTGAAAGTTGAAGGTAAATGGCTTTGTAAAGGGTAGCACATGAGCTGTCCTAAAAATCACAAAGCTTTAGTCTTGTCATGATAAGAGTAGATTAAAAGAAAATTATGTTAGGTGAGTCTGAAAGACTTTTTGTTTAATAAACTGAGGTTAAGATCTATATTTACACTCAAGCTAACCATAAGATACAGAAAATGAATTAAATATTACTTGGTTGGTGAGAGAAAAAAACGGATTCATGGTGATTTGACTGGGGAATTAAATTAATCAGGAGAGCCATAAAGGCATATACTGATTAGTAAAAAAAAAAAAAAAACCTTCTTTGGCACCCAGAAGTCAAATAAATAGTGACAGGAAAAGTCATGGTAAGAACAAGCTTCATTAAGATCCTGAAATATTAATTGAATTCCATTCTGTAGAGCGAGGAGTTCTCAACATGAATGGATCAATACAGAACTCAATCTCTGTTTTCTCTTTCAGAGCAGAATTCACCCTGCACAATGGACTGGCTTCACTGTCCTAAAATGCAGTCGTTGGCAAAAGGCTGGATAGAACATTCCAGATGGATGAGGATTTAGTGAGCTCTGAAAGTTCGAGGTGATCTGACTCCCATGAGGGCCATGGGACAGAGGAAGACAAGAAAAGGCATTAGATGCTTGCTTCAGCGGCACGCACACTGAACTTGGAACCATACAAAGAAGATTGGCATGGCCCCAGTGCAAGAACGATACACAAATTTGTGAACTGCTATGCTCCCAAAAATCGACAGAAGGGATTGCATCGAACAGAAAAGGAAAGCTAATGTCCAGCAAAGGAAATAGTCAAAAGAATGAAACAACAACCTATACGCTGGAAAAAATGTTTGAACACCATTCCTCCTAAAATAACATTCAAAATATATAAAGAATTCAAACAACTCAATAGAAAAAAAAAAAACTACAAGTCCTGTCTCCTGAAATAGTCTGATTTTTAGAATGGGCAAATGACCTCAACAGACATCTGTCAAAAGAATATATTGACAAAGGGTCACTAAGTATATGACAAAATGCTCATTGTCACTAATTATCAGGGAAACACAAATCAAATCACAGAGCAGATATGATCTCGTCCTAGGTAGAATGGGTAATTATTATCAAAGACCCAAAATGGCAAAGGCTGGTAAGGATATCAAAAAGAGAGAGTCCTCACCCACTGAGGAGAGGAATGTGTATCAGTAGAGTCATTAGGAAATACAGTATGGAGGTTCTCTAAAACTAAAGGTAGAACTGTCGAAGATTTCAAAAATCCCACTATTGGGTGTTTGAGTGTATCTCAGAAAGTTCAAGGAAAAATAAATTAACAGATAAAGGCTTTCAAGACCAAAAAAATTGAAATCCATGCTTAGGTTTTTGGTTTTTTTTTTTTTTTTGTAACATACTTTTGACAAAATTTTTAGTGACCTTATATGTCCAAAGGAAATGAAATCTCTCTGTCAGAGACACCTGCACTCCCACTTTCACTGCAGCACTAGACACAGTAGTTGATGCACAGAATCAGCCTAAGTGGCCTTGAGAGGGGATACAGAAAGGACAGTAGTATATTAACATGGTGAAATATTGTTCAGCCATAAGGAAGAATGAAATCCTGTCATCTGTAGCAACAAGGTTGGAACTGAAGGGTAGAGTTAAACGAAACATGTCAGGCACAGAAAGGCAATTGCTGTATTTTATCATTAATTTATGGGATCAAAAAAGTTAATCTCACAGAAGAGAACAGAATAGTTGTAACCAGAGGCAAGGATGGAGAGAGGGTAGGTGCTGGGTATACTAGGTACAGAAGTGTGGTCACAGAGGAGGATGTATTATATCCGATGTACAGCAGGATATCTATAGTTGTCAACAACGATTTCCAAATGTCTAATGAAGAGATTTCAAATGTCTCCAGCATCAAGAAATGACAAAAACTTAAAATAATAGGCCAATTATTCTGATCTGATTGTGGCACATCATGTACTTGTGTTGAAAACGTTACACTGTGGGCCTGGCGCAATAGCTTGGTTTCTAAATCTTCACCTTGCAAGCGCTAGGATCCCGTATAGGTACTAGTTCCTGTCCTGGCTGCCCCAGTTCCATCCAGCCTCCTGCTTATGGCCTGGGAAATCAGTCCAGGATGGCCCAAAGCCTAGGGACCCTGCATTCATGTAGGGGACCTGGAAGAATCTCCTGGCTTTGTTCTGATTGGCTCAGCTCCAGTCCTTGCAGCTGCTTGGGGAGTGAGCCAGTGGACAGGAGATCTTTCTGTCTGTCTCTCCTTCTCTTTGTAAAACTGCCTTTCCACCAACAAAAGAAATACTTTAAAAAAGAAAAAACAATGTTACACTGTATGTCATAAATATGTACAATTACTATGCATCAATTAATGTAAAAAATATATTTGGCAAGGAAAAGCAGGAGAGTCAATTCCCTGTAAGATCATACAGTCCCAGAAAACCCTTGATTAGATAACATTGCAAGACACTGAAACGGAAGGAATCAGCTATCATATCTATATGTTCAGCAAGCAGATCATTAACATCTTGTATGCAAGAGGCACCATTCTGGTACTCAGAAACAACACCAAGCAGATGTCATCGTCTTCGCAATAAGTGTGTAGTTGACTCAGGCTCAGAAGAAGAAAGCAGACAGCAGACCGTACATTGAAGGTAGAGAATTAGCTGTCCTCTGTCAAAAACTGCAAAGCCAAACGGGAGTGTCAGAGCACTAGATGTATATGCCCAGCAGTGGGCATTGATTTGGGAGACAGTTGTTACGTTTTAAGCAGCATTTTTCTTTTCTTGTTGGCTTTCTTTCTCTAGTAACTTTCTTCCTCTAAGATTGGATGATGTAATAGATAAATGCCTGAAGTTATTTCAGATTTTAAGCTCTGTGTGCTTATGTTTTCTATATTGCCTTATTTTTAGACTATTTTGTTCCAAAATATGCCTAATGCTTGACTGCATTAAGCAACATGAGGCCAACACAATCAATGAGACCCAGTCTTTGACTTAGTCTGAAAGGAAACAAAGTCTTAGAGGAAAATCAAATAATTACTGCTGCTTTTAATATCTTTCAAAAATAAAGATCGGCCACAACTGAAAGCTATTTTAAACAATCAGAAAAGTGTTCCTAGTTATTCTTCATTCTTTCCACTAACAGGCTTTGTGATGTGGCTTTGCAGTTCCTCCTATTGAGGGGCAAAGTCTAGCTCTCCCAGCCTTGAAACTTGGATGGTCTTGTGACTTGGATAATAAAAAGTGGAGGAGGTGAGGGTGTGGCATCTCTGAGCCTAAGCCTCAAGGGGCCTTGCCATTTCGTTTTTCTCCCACAACCCTGTTCTAACCAACAAAACCAAGACCAATTTCCTCTGTTGGGTGGACGAGAGCACAGTTGTAACAACTAAAGCCATCCTGGACCAACTCAGGCAGCATACCTCCTTCTAAGATGGTCAGAACCTCCTGCCATCACATCACGGTCTGCAGATACATGCATGAACACATATGGAACCATAGAACCACTCAGCTGACCTGCGTACTGCAAAGAAAAAAATGTAATTTACTGCTGTACACCACTAACGTTGACTTACTAATCACACATCTTTGTTGACAAAAGTAATAATTGAAACTAAAGTCTGCAAGAGGCAGGAGTCTTTGAACAAAGCTTTAAAGAATGACAAAGATTTTAACTTGGGGCTTAAATAGGAAGCATTTCAAGCCATAGGTATAGCATGAACAATACCATGGAGTGAGAAAGTCCAACAATTTGATCACAGAATGGCCACATCCCAAGTAAACATGAAGAGTTCAGAATTTCAAAATTATTGTTCTCATATCAACTACAAGAATTGATTCGGAGGTGTGCCCATCTTCCCAATGAGTCACCTAAAAAGGATGACTCATTCTGACCCAAAATGCTTAAATGCCCTGATATGGAAATATGAATACAGGTTACATTTTTCATTGGGCTGAACCCAAAAGCGGCAAAAGTGGGAAAGAATCAAATTTTGTATTTGTCCCTATTCTAACAGGTACATCAGAGCAGGTCATAAAAGTGAATACTTTAAATGAAGAGAACACGATTAGATTGTCAAACAGAGAACTGGAACAAATGAATACAGATGTTTGGGCAAAGACTTTTTTTTTCACTACAACTCAAAAGTACCCAAATCAAATTTTTATTCTGGTTTCTTAATGTTGTTTTGCAAAGAAATTAAATTTAGGAACATGCAGGTGTTACTGAGGTGCTATCAAATTGGATTTCTCAAAAAATCTTTAGGGAAGTAGGTGGCATATGAATAATCAATAGAAGACTAATCCCTTTCTAGAGAGATTGGGAGAAAAACAAAAACACGGTGTTGACTTTTTCATATTGATTGCTTGCTTTTACTTGAGGTTCTCTTTCTGTTTCCCACTATTGCCAACAAATTAGGTGACCTTTCTGTGTTTAATTACCCAAAAGAAACATGTGAAAAATAAATGCCAGGGGTAAAGAGAAAGTCTCTCTCCCCGAAGGTCTCATCAAAATAGCCAGCTGCAAGTTCCTCCCCCTCTGTAGGATACATGAAGCTTGTCTGAAATGAGCAAAGAAATAAGTGGGGTGGCATTGCCTGTGTGATGCGTGTCAGATAAGTGAGCCCCCAGGACAGGGGGTCTTGTAGGGCCCAGGTTGCCTGACCCAGGTCCTTGGGCTTGCCTGCACTGTGGGTGCTGAGTCTGTGAGCTCTGGGTATGGGGGATCAGGTTTGGGTCTGGTGATCTGGAGTGCCAGTGGCACCAGGGGAAGCTCACTGGCTGCCCAGAGGTACATTTGTGGGGACTTGGAGCCCTGCAAGCTCCTGGGGATGTGCTGGGGCCTGGAGTCTCATGTCCAGGATTGGTGGGCTGACCATGGAGTGCATGAGTCAGAACTAGGCCTTCTCAGTGGAAAGATGAAGCAGCATACGGCTGGCCCAGATGTACATGGAGGATATTGCAGTCCATTGGAGCCAGCAGAGGACATCTGGAACCATAGCAGAGGAAAGAGGACAGAACAAACTGGAAAACTACCCCAGCCAAACAATGACAGCAAACATCTGGACGAATGGAAGCTCTAAGGGTGACTGTGTCAGCCAATGGACATTGGAAGGGTTTCCTTCTCCTTGGATCAGGGAGAACCACAGCATTTCACAACCATCAACACCACTTGCACAGACCGCTCAGAGCATATACCACATCAGAGACCTTGGGTTGATATCAGATGGCCATTCCCCATCCTTGGGCGTTGAGGAGGTTGGGAGGCTGGGGGCGGCTTCTCCCCTTATCTTCCCTTTCCCCCAGATATAGGAAGGAGAAATGGAAAATTTGAAAAAAAAAAAAAGATCATACCCACTTTTCCCTAACTCTTGATCCTTACCACCTTGTTCAACTATTCAGACATCATCAAAAATAGAAATTAAAATTTTAAAAAGAAGTAAATGGGAGCAAGTATATAGCTGTGAGACCTGAGAATGTGGAACAGGGTAGGGAAAAGCCAAGTAAAAATTAATTTCTGCAAGCAAAACATATTTATCTTTGGAATATAGCAGCTCTTAAATGACACATTCCTGGGAATTATTAAGATAGAGTTGTCAAGTTGGACGCTTCAATTGGGAGACTTTGAGTAATTAGATCCGGTTATCTATGTGGCCAACTATGTGACCACTTCCAGTGCAGCCACTGCATGGCTACAGCCACTCTCATGAACGGTTGAAGAGAGTCAGAAAGAAGT